CACAGATGGGCCCCTGCCGTGCGTGACCTCCCCTGCCCCCTGCCACCCCGACCCCGGCAGTCTCCCCGGCTCCCCTCGGGCCCTGGCCTCTGCGCGTGTCTGGGACGCTGTCACGGCTCCGGTGACACCTCGCAGCCCGATGATGTGACGCGCACGCCTACCACACGCTTCTTTCACGGCTCGGCTCAGGACCGTGTCCTCCGGGGTCCCCACCGGCCCCGTCACTGCTGTCACAGCCTCGGAACCAAAGGCACCGCAACCCCTGGTGGCACTTGTCACGGTTGCTATTTTAGTGTCAGTTACGGTCGTTCGGTCCCTTTGTCCTGTCTAGACTGCAAGCTGCCTGGGGCTGCATCTGCTTGCCAGGACCTCGCACCGCGCCCAGTGACAATGACCAGTCCACACACGCGAGACACAGACACAGACCCAACAGGAGGGGCCAGGAACCCGCACCGCCACCGCCTGGGTCCCCGGCCCATGCTCTGTGCACGTCCCCGGATGCCTCGGGGGCCTCCCCAGACGTCTGCACCCCCAGAGCGCCCTGCAGCCGTGGTCCCCGGGGGCGGGGCCCGGCGGTCACACGAGCCCATTTCTCGGATGGAGAAAAGCGAGCGCCAAGACACAGTCACCGCTCCGCCTAGGCCGCCTCCTCTCCCATGGACACCGAGGCCCCGACGAGCCCTCTGGGGACACGGCTCCCAAGGCCCAGCCCTCGACATTCTCCCCGCACCACCGGCCGGCTGTGCCCCGTGGCGGGCGGCGGCACGGAGGTTCCTGCCATGTGTCTGCGCGTCTGGCGTCCTGGGTGACGCCCGGCTGGGCGGGAGCTTGCCGTTCCCCGGAGCGGGGCCCGCGAAGGGCCCCCATGCGAACTGCGTGTGAGATCGCGGGGCCTGTGAGCCGTGGGCCAGACGCGCGTGTCTCCCCCGGGCATGTCACGTGTCCTCGTGCCGCCCGTCAGTTTCACGCACGAGATCTCACGCCTCCTTTGCAGGACGAGGTCCGCCTTAGCATTAGCTCCTCTGGCGTAGCCTTTGGAGGCGTAACACACTTTTTTTCCTTCTTTTCATCCTAAAAGCTAAGACTCTAGCTCGAAAAGTGCCTGAACTTCGAAGCCCAGGCTCCACATGGCCCGGACACGCTGCCGCTGCACGTCCTCCTGGTTCGTCCGCCCTCGGTGGGTTCCCTGCCCGATCCCATTTTATCTGGGGTAAATCATGGTATAGGAAGGCAGGGGTGAAGTCGGACATGCCGCTCCTTCCTGCTGCCCTGGGGCGACAGGCACGCACAGCCCCTGCTTGGACAGCGGGTGCAAAGGCATCGCCCGCGCTTGGGGGAGAAGGGGAGAGACGCTCTTTCACGCTCTGGCCCAAACCCAAACGTCTCCTCCCTCAGGAGGGAGAGAACGTGGGGGGGGAGGAGCAGTGTTAGGAACCCTGACGCCAGCGCCGGGGACCAAGGTCGCACGTCCGGGGCGGAGAAGTGACCGGCGTCCTTGCTCCAGCGGAAAATCCCGAGGCCTTTTGCCCTCTGCCCGTTTGGGGGTGCGTCCTGATGGTTGGCGCCTGGACACCCAGGAGCGGCCGTGGGCCCACGCATCTGGGATGCTGCCTCGTCTCTGGCCCGGACGCCTCGGTCTGCCTCCAGGACCTCGGAGGGGACTGGGGACCCCCGGGGGCCTCGGGGCCAGTGTCGCCTGGCCGCTCATGCATTTCTGCCTCTCCGAGGCCGAGCGTCTCCTCTGCTCTCCGAGGGAGGCTCAGGGTGAGGGGGAAGAGACGTGCCCGCCGCCGTGGCCCAGGGCCCGAGGGACGTGCGGCGTCCCCGTGAACTCATCTGCCACGCCAGGCCTGGCGGATCGGAAGCAGAATTAGAGCGTGTATTTGGTTTCCAAACCCTCAGGCCTCTGGTGTCCTGATTTTCCGCTTCGTGTACGAGCCGTCGCTTAATCACATTCACCCTCGAAAATGGATTTTCAGAGAAGAGGAAGATGATGGATATGAGAAAATATGGCTTCCACAGCACGGCGAGAGGTCGCCCTGCGTGCTAGCGACGGCGGCCAGCGTCTCCCGCCTGTCCGCCCGCCGTCCCGCCAGACCCCGAGTGTGTCCGAGGCCGGGAGGAGCCCCCTAAAGGTTACATCTATACATACCAAGTAAAATGCGTTTCTTGGCCGCCCTTAGTCCGTGACACAAATAAATAAGTCGCTGGGTGAGAGGCTTCCGGAAAAGTGTGTTTGAAAAAGCAGAGTCTGAGGTCGTCGTGCGTTTTGCCTTCCTCCCGGCACCATGAGTGGGTCGTGCCTGCCCCCCACCCCCCGAATGGCCCACCCAAGGGGAACGGAGAGGGGGCCCTGCCCAGTGCACAGAAGGGACAGACGGCAGGTCCAGGGCGCAGGGGTCAGAACGCTGCTCCCGGGTCAGGAGAGTGAGGTCCCCGGACCAGGTCGGGGACGAGCGTGCACGCTGCGTGGAGAGGGAAGGTCCTGGGTGGCCTCGTGTCCACGGAGACGCACGGTCAGAATTCCGCAGCAGGCGTCGGAAGTAAGGCCTCCCCTTGTCCGCTTTCAATTCCCGGTGACGCCGAGTGCTCGCTCAGGAAGACAGCACCAGGGCTCCACGGAGCCAAGGACACGGCGTGGCCCACCCCACGTCATCGGGACCCCGGAGGAGCCGGCGTGGGGTGCTCGGGCACCGCCAGGGTCCGCCCAGCGCCCCCACAGTCTGCCTTCTCCGTCCGCCCGCAGCTCCCTGCACTGCTAACACGTGTGTCCACTAAGACGCCTACTCTGTGGTCAGTATTTACCCACTGTTCAAAAAATTCTGGAACTACGTTCAGTTTGGGTCAAAAGCAGACTCCACCCTAGCTCACTTTGGCTGAGAGGGATGGATCCAGGACCGTGGACAGAGGCCAGCCATGTCCGCGGAGCTGAAGGCGCGGACTCCAGCTGACCGCCCGAGGTCGGCGCCCAGCCTTGCTGCTCCTGCCGCGGTTAGGGGGCCGACACACGAGGCGGGTAGCTCCAGAACCCCGCCGTCTCCTCCGAAATCTCAGGCAGCCAGGCGGATGCCACGTGTCCCCTCACCCCCACGCAAAGCAGAGCTGACACGGGGTCCAAGTGGCGGAGACTGAATCCCAAACCCAACCCCTCATGGACTCTCTGCTCTCTGCCCGGGAGGCTGAGTGAGGCAGACCTCTGAGGTTCACGCAGGTGCAGAGAGGACACCTGTGGGCGGCGCCGATGACAGCCCCCACCCCCGCCACGTGCCGCCGCCGCTGGCCACGGCCTTTCCCTGAGGTCGGACCACAGACGGGCGTGCGTTCCTGTCTGTTCATTCTAAATCGAAATTTCGTAGTATTGGCATTATTCACCACCTGCTCTTGAGCCCACCTCCAACGACACGAAGAGACACTGCGAGTCTTGAGCCGTCTGAAGTCACGTCTGCGACTCGCTGACGCTCGTGCTGTGCCAGACGGAAGCTCCAGCCAGCCTGGCCCTCACGACGCACTGGCCTGCAGGGTGCGGTGGCCGCAACGCCCTGCCACCCCCGAGGCTCGGCCACGAAGCCACCGCAGGTCGCCCTGGTGCTCTCCCTAGGGCCGCTATGCCGTGAGGGAGCCCAGGCTGCACGCGGGGCCACGGTGAGGGGTCCGCTCTACAGACGCAGCTGAAATCCAGCCTCGACTCACCGGACACATCCAGCGAGAAGCCGCAGATGGGGTCCGCCTCCTGGGCAGAAGCAGCCGGGCCTACTGCTGTCGGCACCCAGGGCCACGACACACAATGCAACAGAGACGGCTGCCGTCTGCGCCGCACGGGGCAGAGGCCGACAGCCAGCCCCTGATGGCCAGTCCTCAGTGCTGGACCCCGACAGCCGGCCCCGACAGCCAGCCCCCAGCCCCCGATGGCCAGCCCCCGACGCTTTGCAGGACGTGAACGCCGCGCTGCCTGCACTCCGCTCGGCTCCCAGTTCTGCATCGACCCCAACGTCCTCACTGCTGCTTTGGACTCGCTCCGGGCTGAGCTCGTCCGCAGCTGTCCTGAGTGTAGGCAGCTGGCCGTGCTCTGCATGAGGTCGGCCTCCCGGAAACCGGCGGTGGCCGTGTGCAGTCACCTGACACTGTCCACGGGCCGCAGGGCGCGCAGGTGCACGGTGGGTGCCTGGCCAAGCGTCTGCCGTCAGGCCGGTCTGCGTGCTGGGGGCTGTTGGCGGCCCCCGCCGATGCCAGCAGCATGTCCCTTCTGGTAGAGAGGACCCGCAGGCTTGCCATGAGAAACTGGAATGACAGGTAAGCACCAGCTCCGGGCCACGCTGGCTGTGCAGGCGAGTCCACCTCGGGTCTGGTCCTGAGGGAACGGTATCCACTGTCCCCGCCCCTCTGCGGGGGTCACAGAGCCCCGGGGAGGACTCGAGGGACAGGGCGGGTGTCGCTCAGCTCACGGTACCGCATCTTGGCCCAGACACGTGTCCCGGAGGTGATGATGGTGACCCGGTGAGCCAGGGTCTCGTGCTCCCTCGAGAGCGGGCAGCTCTAGCTCCCGCTACGTGTAGCTTTGTAGGAACATGGACCCAGTCTGCACGGGACCC